AGAAATCTTTCTTAATCAATGTTCCTTTAAAAATCTTATTCCTCCTCAGATCACATTCTACTATTTTAAGTTTCGATGGAAAAAGATATATCAAACATTTGAGATAGAGTTTGACCACTTTCCCACTGCATACCTCGATTCACGTTGTTTTAGATCATCTTGTTAGTGTTTGTCAATGTTGGCAAAACGTTCCATCGTATTTGATACATTAAGTCCTCAGTGTGACTGGTGCGGCGCCTCCGAATGAAATGAAAAAGTTGGTTTTGAAACTTTCTGTTGAAACAATGTTCACCTCAATCATTTTCTAAAACGTTGCACCACAGAGCTGGTAGTTGTTTTTCTGAGTAGTTTGAAAAAATTAATTATTAGAGGCCAAAAGAAAGATATATGATAACCTCGATGTCTGACGGAATATTTTTCAGACGTTCAGGCTGAAGTACCGTCAGACAGTACATCGCAATTTGATGATGCTACTTTGAAAGGTAAGAATAACAACTAGAATAGATATAACATATTTAGTGTGGTACCTACGGTCACCGAATTAATTATGATTCCACACTATCCTCGCCAGAGGAACATGGCAAGGGCACTTACAGACTAAGGATCATTTAACGGGAAAGACGCAGAATGTTTTGTTAGTCGAAAACACGACTTTAACTTTAAACAGTTAGATCAAACTGCTGCTCTCCAAAGTACATTACAAAGGTGTATATTTCAAGATGTTAGCTTTTGCATTCCTCTTCAATCATGATATTGTGAGGTGAATTCGAAGTTGGTATTTTGAGACTTTTCCAGTGAAGCCTTTTGTTTTCTTGAGCCTTGCCTTTTGCGCCTCCGTGTTGTTTTGGTAGATTTATATTTTTTTGGCTCAGCTCGCGGATTTCCTTATTACCGTGTTAGACACTTTAATCGCTTGTTATGGTTGAGAATAATAAGTTTCATAGGTGGTCGTGTTTGCGTTGGTAAAGCTGACCTTGAGTTTTACCCACACTGAAGTTCCTGTTTGCGTGCGCGATTCCTGTGCGCAGCTGCTAACGTTCAATTGGTTCCTTAGCGCTCGACGAATACTTCGGTGAGGCCACCCAGTTTCCCCATTTTTGCAAAATAAACGGATACACTATAGAAACACTCACGGTAAGCTAACCAAAACATGTCTACGGTTTTCTTACTTAAGACGTTGGTAATTCTCGTTAGAGAGAGAGAAGAGAAGCATCGCTGTAGTAGAAGTCAACTCCTTTGGAAGAGAAAAAAAGAAAAGTACAGAGTCCTAGTACCTCTGGTTAATTTGGCTAAGCGAGAGGTACCCCCCCCCCTCAACATTGATGTTGATTATGGATGTTTGCTGCTTTTTTTGTTAGCAATAGCAGAGGTGTACTTGAAGGATGGTGATAACGAGTACAGCAAAGGAGAGGCTTACAACGCGGTACACTTCTATACAGAGGGACTGCAAGTGAATTGCAAAGACATCCAAGTCAACGCCGCGCTCTATAGCAACAGGGCAGCCGCGCAATTGCTTTTGGGTAAGAGTTGGTCGTTTGTTCCTAATATACCAATTTTATAAGGATTCAATAGAATAGTTTACAGCTCGAGTGATATGCGTGAAGAAACGCGTTTGTTGCTTTGCGTGTCGAACTACGCCACCTCATTAAAGTTAATAAGGGAAGCTTGACCAATTTAAGGAGTTTTGTCAAAGGGAGCATAAATCAGACAGGTCCAATGGATCTGATTGACTGGTAAGCTTAGTAAAGCGCCGACTTAGACAAGTTCAAGGCACGGCACGGCTAATTGGAAGACGGATGGAATCAAAACCTGAAAGGTCTCTTATCACCCATCTTGAGAACTGCTTAGCGTATACGTACCTGTGATGTCCACAATTAATTAGCATACCGCTGAACTAACAGATAGTGCGTTATATAACCGTAATAACCAATGGTAGGAGGTGAACCTTCAACTCTTAGATCAAAACAAAGGGCCAATATGATGCAGGTAGACAAGATCAGATCCTCCTGTAGGATAAAGTCTGGGTAAAAGGATTTATCGCCAACTTGGCAAGCTTGGTGTGTGCGATGAGCAAGTGTGAAAATATTATGCCCGTACTCACTTGAAAATATGTTTTAGGAAATTATCAAGAAGCTTTGGATGATGCTACACTTTCTGTTCAGTTAGAACCAACTTTCATAAAACCCATAGAAAACGGTAGGTTCTTTGCATTTCCTAAGATATGCAGAGGTTTTTCTCGTTTTTACTACTACGTATAAAGTTTGTACTTCAGACTTAATGACCATGCAGGCAAAAGCCTCCAGGCAAGCATGGCCCTTCCTCCAAATGTAAATTGGAATTTTCAGCGCGAGTAAATTTTTCAAATGAATAAAGGCTGATAGTTTCGAAAGAAACTGTTTGGGGCTGCGTCGGTGGGAGTAACGAAATAATTTGGATATATCAACAAAGTTGAAATGGTAAATTGGCCACCGTAATGATTACAAAAGCTGACGTTTCGAGCGTTAGCCCTTCGTCGGAGCGAATAGAGGAATTGTGGGTTGTGTGTGCTTTTAAAGGCAGAAAATGGAGCTACGTTATTGGTGGGTGCATGGCAACGAGAAAAACATGAATAAATTAGTGGAATGAAAAGCGTTCATTGATCCCTGTGGGATTTAGACTGCCGGTTTGAAAGATGAGCTTTTGTTCAAGATTTTTACGGCTTTCCGTGCCACCTAAGTGCAAGGAAAGACCGCAGATTGCCATATGTTGCTTAGAATGATTAGGTAAATTAAAATGTCTAGCGACTGGTTTCGATGTGTCCTTGTCATTCCTTTCCACGTCTCGAAGGTGTTCTCGGAATCGGTCACCTAGTCTTCTGCCTGTTTCGCCGATGTATATCTTTTTGCAATAAGTGCAAGTTATGCAATAGATTACATTGGCGGAGGTGCACGTGAAGTGATCGGTGATCTTAATGGATCGTTTAGGTCCCGATATTTTATCAGTGTTGTGAATGAAAGGACACGTTTTGCATCGTGCACGAGCGCATTTAAAAGTGCCTGGTTGGTCATTAGTCTGAAAAGAACTTCTGACCAAAAAATTGCCTATGTTTTTGTCGCGTTTGAATGAAATGAGCGGAGGCTGCGAAAAGATAGTGCTTGTCTCTGGATCGTTTTGAAGTAATTTAAAGTTTTTAAGAATGATGGATTTAACTGAGTGGTTGTGAGGGTGAAACGTGAGAGTGAATGGAATGCGGTCGGAATCTTCCTTATGCGACGTTTGTAGTGCTGAATGTCGATCAATAAGTTG